CCCTTCTCTGTCACCATCAGCATCACCATCATGACCATCATCACCAATGTCACCAAAGTCACCACTTTATCACCACCACCATCCCCACTATGGCCATCACTGACATCACAACCATCACCACCACCATCACCGCCACCCTCACCACAACAATCACCCCCACCTCAAAGCAGGTATCAGGGGACCACTCTTTGTCTCCTAGCTACAGCCTTGGTCCAGCAAGCCTGCGTTCTCCATCCCTCTCTCCATCCTGGGCCATAGGGATGTGATTACATAACATCAAGGGAAGTGCTGTCCTGCTTGGGAACCAAGAGGATTCTGGGTCTGATTGTCCAACTTCTCTTTAAGTGGCCTCAGATGTCTTCTGGGCTTGCTGCCACAGGGTGTACCATCTATAAATGGTGAGCCCAGCCCCCGGACCAGGGGATAGCAGAGGAGGGTCTGCTCAGTGTAGCTCTTGGACCCTGGGGGTGGCTGAGCGTTGAGGTGAGGCTGAATGCTTCCTGTCACGGGGATCTGTGAGACCACTTTGGGGGAGAAAGGCCTGAGGGCCTGGATTCTCTTGGCCTATTTTCCTGTCTTTGGAGAGAAAAAGGAGGATATCACTCAGAGATGGCAAAGTTTTTTATGGAATCTCCACACTGTTTTCCATAGTGGCTGCACCAATTTACATTCTCACCAACAGCGTAGGAGGGTTCGCTTTTCTTTACGCCCTCTCCAGCATTTATCGTTTGTGGACTTTTGAATGATGGCCATTCTGGCTGGTGGGAGGTGATAGCTCATTGTAGTTTTGATTTGTATTTCCCTAATAATTAGTGATACTGAGCATCTTTTCATGTGCCTATTGACCATCTGGATGTCTTCTTTGGAAAAAATGTCACAGCGCCTTCTTTTTAATCAGGATTCCTTACTGGTACCAAGCAGGTTGCTCTTCCTGTTCTTTTTCTTGTTAAAGGTTTAAAATTGTTGAGACCCTAAGCTTTGCACATTGGAAACTGAGCCTTGTGCTGTTAAAATGTTAAGGCAATTTCAATGTTTAAAAGGTCTGGAAGTTCTTCCAAAGTTTAAGGCCGCTTCGTTTCAGTCTGCAGGGGGAGTCTTCTGGAGGAAGTTACCGGAGGGTGGGGTCTAGGGAGGGACGATTACTGGGGACGAGGCACTGGAGGAGGGGCAGGCCCGGAGTGCTGGGCAGCACAGGCCAGCTCACAAGGACTGATCTGAGCATTGGGATCAATTCCACATTAGGTTCACAGGGGTGGGCTGACATCAGTCACGCTGGGAGACAGTATTTACACAACCGAAGTGGGCAAACACTACAACTCAAGGGTTGTTTGTTTTTCCTGAAGAGCCGGTTGTTAAACAGGAAAGGCCTCACCAGACAGTAGGGTCAGATGAAGCCAGAGGAAGCCTGGACCATCTGAATAGGGAGAAACATGCCCTTAATTTTCATCTTCATCCTCGTCATTCTCATAACCACAGGAACTTTTGAGCACTGACTACAGGCCAGATATTGGTCTACAGCTTTGCGTGTATCAATTCATTTTTTCCTCACAAAAAGCCACTTTGAGGTAGGTACTGTCGTCAACCCATTTTAAAGGAAATGAGGCCAAAGTATTATCTTCTTGTATTGGGAAGGTGGATGATGGTTTATCTGTTTGGGTTGGATTGGATTCCACTTTGACAGGGCCTCGGACATGACTCAATGACAGGGAGGCGTCATCCATGGTGTTAATCCCTCTTCAACCAGACCCACCCCCAGGAAAGGGACAGACTCTGCTTTATCTCTGGGATTCTCTGGCAGGCATTAGGACCATCCAGAAACATCCTTCTCTTCTTCTAAACACACAGGAAGATCGCACTTCTCATCCTCCTTTGAAGTCAGGGAAGGTCAAGTAACTTGCTTCGTTCAAAAATGTGAGTGGAAGTGGTATGTATCGTATGTAGGTAGAAGCTTTAAGAGTCATTGCAGCTTTGCCATTTTCTGAGCACCACAGGGACTGGTGACATTCCAGATAGATGCTGTTCCATCAGCACGGGTCACAAGGATGATGTGAAACAGAGCTCTTAGCTGACCCACATGGACTAGTAACACCTAGGAGGAATAAACCTTTGTTGCAATAGGTCGCTGAGATTCTGGGGTTGCTTGTTACTGCAACATAACTCAGCCTGTTGTGACTAATACAGTTCCCAGTTTCAGTAGAGCCTAAAACATGGAAGTCTCCAAAATAAGAGTGAACTAATGAATGAATGAATGAATGGAAGGGAATAGGGACAGGGTCATAAATTTTCCCCTGGGCCAGAGGTAGAGGAAAAGCAGCCATGTCTCAGTCCTGCTCTCTCACACATAGGCTTGTAACCAGGCTGGGGTAGAAGTTAGGCTCTGAGCTTTATTTCCTTTGGTCACAGCTCATGTTGACCCCAACATCTCTGCCCTGATTCTTCCCCCACTTCTCACTCCTGGGGGCTCTGGAGGAGCTACAGAGATAGGGACATGAGATGCAAGGAGGGCCAGGGAGATGGAGGCGCAGAGAGGGAGTTAGAAATGGGGAAACTGAAACAGGAGGTAGGGGAATAATCAGAGAGGTGAGATAAGACAGCATCACCCTGAGTGGGAAACCAAGAAACTAGGAGATTAGGAAACAGCAAGGGAAAGGAGGCGAGGAAGGAGAAGGGGACCAGGAGGCAGAGGAGGAGGAGCAGATGGACACAGATCCAGGGACACAGTGAAAAGGAGGTAGAGGCAGTTCACCAGGAACTGGGTGAGAAAGATGGAGGATCATAGGAAGAATTGGGAGGCAGAGACACTGCAGGCCCTGCCAGGAGCCAGGGCCAGGGTGGGGGCAGGGCACCCCTACTAGTTGCTCTGGGAGTCCTTGCTGGTAGTGGAGCCCGGGCCGGTGCTGGAGGCAGGGCCAGTGCTCGAGATTTGGCCTCTGCTGGACCCAAAGCCTCCACTCAATTCTGACTCAGGGCCTCTGCTCTCTGTGCCTCCAAAGCTCTCCTGGCCTCTGCTGGACCCCAAGTATCCAGTGGACCCCAGGTAGCCACTAGAGCTGGGGGGTCTGAAGGTCACACGGCCCCTAGTCGAGCTCTGGCTGGTCATCAGTCCCGCGGTGGCGCTGGTGGAGTCAAAGGTCACGTGGCCCACACTGGAGCTTGCGTCCCCAAAGGTGACGTGGCCGACATTGGAGCTGGTGGCACGGCCTCCACTGGACACCAGGATGCTGCTAGTCCTGTGGCTCCTGACAGACCCGGGGACAATGCTGGGGCTCTTGAGCAGCAGGGGGTTGCTGGAGCTGGCCTTCTGGGTGCTGGAGAAGTTCATGGTCGGAGTGCTATCCACCTTCACGGCCTCAGCCAGTTCCTTCAGGTTATGCTCCCTCGCCTGCTCTCGGATCTCCAGCTGTGGGGGAAGAGGCTTAGGGTCCCCAAGGAGCCCGGGCTCCTGCCCCGCACCCGCGGGCATCCGTGCTCACCGACTTCACCACTTGGCTCAGCAGCTCCTCCTTGCTCAGAGGATACTCATCTTTGGCCTCAAAGCCTAGGGGGTCCTCCCTAAAGTGGGGAGAAGATAGGAAGGGGCTGTTCTCCCACCTCAAGAGGAAGACGGCTCCTCATCACTAGACCCAGAGACCCTCAGCCTCACACAGAGATCCAGCCAGCCCTGAGCACCCTTCAGCCTTCTGGTCTACCCAGTGCCCCATAGCATCCCTGGAGCCCTTACTCCTGGTTCCTGCAAAGCACCCACTCCATCTTCTACTCCAAGCCCCCCAGAGCCACACTGATCCTCTAATCCCCAAGAGCCCCCCACCAAAACACTCCTTCCCATATGTCCCCTCTGTCCCCTTGGAATCTCCCTCTTCCCCCTCCCTCTTGCTCTCTGACTCACAGATTGTCGGGGGGCTGAGGTGGGGCCACTTTCTTCAGAAGATCCTCAGGGCTCTGACCCAGCACCAGGAGGGTAGCGTTAGGCAAGCTGGTGGCATGATAGTTCTGGAGGACAGATAAGCCAGCGGTCTGCTCAGACCCATCTCCAAGGCTCTGGTTCCCTGTCCCCCCTCAGTGCCCTCTGCATCCCGACCTGGCTTTCCAGGAAGGCCTGCACTGTCAGGAGCTCCACCAGCCGCTTCTCGATGAGGCCCAGGAAGAGGCCTATGTCCCGGTCTCTCATGTGGGTCTTGACTCCCAGGAGGTCGTTGATGATGGTATTGTCACACTGGGCCCTGGTGAAGATGCGCTGGATATCTGGGGTCAGAGGGGGCCGGCTGTCATGGACCTGGTGCCCACTGGCTGCAAGCCTTCTCCTCTCCTCCAGTCCCCGCAGCCTGGGCTGGGGAGACGGCAAGCGAGGCTCAAAGATGGAAAGGGACTTGCACGAGCTCAGCCAGCCAGCCAGTGGGAGGGCATCGCTGTGTGCGTGGCCAGGGGCTCGGGACCACAGCAGGCAAAACGAGAGAGGGGTCAAAGAAAAACCTAACAAGAGCACCTCCACTCGGAGGGACTTCTTCACATGGCTCAGAAAAGCCTGACTTCCACCCAACCCAGTGAGTCCACGGCCCAGAATGTGTTTCTCCTCCCGGAACACTCAGGCACATGCTCCGCGGGAGAAGTCGGAGGAAATTCACGGCAGCACCGTGACCCGTTCGTGACCGGCGCTCACCGTGGGCCCCTGCATGGTGCATTTGCATTCAGGTAGCGGGTTATAGTGAATGAAATCAGAAGGTATCTATGACCCTGACAAAAATCTGCACCCAACCATACGGCATCCCCACCACCCATCCCTGTGCGGCCTCAGCCTGGGCTCCAGGCTCAGAGTTTCCTCCTGGGGTCCCTCCCTGACCATCCTCCCAGACTGCTCACACCCAGCTCAGGGTCATCCCCCAAATCTGGCTTCCCACTTCACCCTCACCAGGCCAGACCCCTGCGTGCCTCAGCCCCAATAGTCTGTCAGTCCATTACCTCTGGGCTCCACTCTCCTCTCCATCCACATTCCCCTCCCTCCTCTCCACCACCGTCTCCTGCTCACGACCCTCCTGTGGCTCCCCAGCACCTCCAGGACAAAGCCCCAGTGCCTCAGCCTGGCATCCCTTTAGCACAGGCCCTCTTCAGCCCCCACCCACGCGCTTACATTCCCCTCTCTGCACAAAGAACCTGTATTCCTTGAATGCACCTCCAGGCCTTGGTGCCACTTGCTGGGAACATCCCCTCTCCCCAGTTTTTCAGATAAATACTTATCCTTCAAAACCAGCCTCAAGCACCACTGCTCCCCGGAAGCCTTTTAAGGATGAATGGATGATGGATGTAGGATGGGTGGTTGGATGGATACGGGACAGACGGACAAGGGAGTGCACAAAGTCTCCGTGGCTCGGCTCCCGGCCTACTCATCACTTCCTCCCAGATCAAGAAGCTGGGGCGGGTGCTCACCAGTCTTGAGCTTCTCCAGCTGCCCTCGAAAGTCCTGGAAGCGGGCCTCCAAGTTCTCGGCCTCCGAGTGTGCCTCGTCCACGCGCTGCTGCAGCTCAGCCCGCTGCTGCTCTCGCTGCGAGCGCTGGTCCTCCCCGCTGCCGCGCCCGCTCACCAAGGCCTCCTGCATCTGCGCGGGCAGAGGCGCGACGCTGGGCCCAGCTCGGGAGGAGCGCTGACGCGGGGAGAGGAGACCGGGAGGCAGGAGGAGCGCGTGGGGCTTGGGGAGGGGGCGGGTTTCGCTCACCAACTTGATCTCCTCCTGCAGGTGCTCCAGCTCCGAGTTCTGCTCATTGATGAAGGTGAACTCCGCGAAGTTCCGCTCCTCCACTGGGGGCGCGTGGGGAAAGGCAGGGTCCAGAGAGACACACGGGGACAGATACACACAGAAAGGCAGAGAAAGAGATGTTGAGAAAGATGTCAAAGACAGAGAGAGAGAGAGGGAGGGAGAAGGAGAGGCAGAGAAAGGCACAGGGGGACAGAGAAATAGAGCCACTCAGAGCGAGAGAGGGAGGGACAGAGAAAGTGCCAGAAATACCAACAAAGCCACAGAGAAGGAGAGAAGCGAGGGAAAGAAAACGGTAAGGGTGGGTAAAGAGAGAACAGGACAGCAACAGGGACACGGAGAGAGAAACACAGAAGGAGAGGGGAAGGTTTGGAAGGTGACCGGCAGCCCCAGATGAGGGCGGCGGAGGAGGGAGGAACCGGGAAGGCGAGATGCGGAGGCGGGAAGGCAGACACGCCAGTGAAATTCGACAGAAAGAAAAAGGCGGAGACACACTCCTTGAGGACAGAGAGAGGCCGACAGGTGGAGACCAACACAGCAGGAAGGTGTCAGAAAGCCCGAGACAGGGGCGGGAGAGATTGGGGAGGAGGTGATACTCGCACACGCGGAGGGGAGGGGAGACAGGACCAGAGGCAGGGCGGACCACATCAGGCGAGGAGGGCGGAGCGGACTCCAGCGCAGGTGGAGTCCCCAGGGCCGAAGCGGAGGCCCTCGTTGACCGTGACCGAGCCCAGTGCGCACTGGACTCCGGGGAGAGTTGGGGGCCTCCCCCTCCGTGCCCCACCATTTTCCGCCCCAGCTACTCACACTCCAGGTACTTCTCCACCAGCACGTCCGGATCGCTCTCCCCGGTCAGCTGGGAGAGTCTTTTCAAGGCGTCCTCGTAGCGAAGCACCAGCTTCTCCTGGGAGGTCTTCCGGTAGCCTTCGGCCACCT